GTGTCGCCACACCAGCGTTGAAGGTTTCCTTCGGTCGTGATCCACTTCAAGATGACATCTACGCTGGAAGGACCTCCATCAACGCCGTCTTTTTGCCAGCTCACCGGTGGTCTCCGCTGCGCAAGTTTGGTGCCATGACGTCTCACAATTAGCGTTCGTGATGCTGGCGAGGCGTCACTGAGGGCGAAGTTCCGAGGGGGCAAGGGAAACTTGTGAAATAGCAACCAAATGAACCAGATTCCCAGGCTTTTAGGTTGATTTGACTCCGTTTGAGTGTCAAGAAAAATTGCCATAATGGCAAAATGCCAAAGCGCTCTGATTGGCTGCATCAAAACGTTAGGTGCACAGGTTTTTAGAACATCTCAACTTTGAAACCCCCTATTATAAAAACAAACCTAGATCGAGGACACTTGTGGATTGAAGTGAAGTACGTGTCCATGGTATGAATTCTCAGTGGGCTCATGGTAGATTAAAAGAAGAAACGTACGTGTATTATAATATAATTGAGACCTCGACCTCGAGCAAGTTTTGTGCTCATTGTGGTACCATTCCCGTCGTGTTCGCAAAGTGAATTGCATCTGCCAGCTCTTGACATTCTAGCAGACGTGTTGAGCCATCCGTGCGCACAACAGTTCAGCGACATAATACTAGGCCAAACAGCGCGAAAAGTATTGCAGATGGATGAGGCATGGTCCAGCGACCCCAAAGCTCAGTTTAAGTTCGAGATCGAAAAATTCCAATGCTCGCTCCTTCACAATTCCAAACATCTGAGAGTACACGTGCTCAGTCTCCGACTTCACGAAGATGTACGCCCAGGGTACATACCGGTGCACGAAATTGTGTGTTTCAAAGGTAACAGCAATCGTCTCGAAGCACACCAATGTGCATCCTCTAAAGTGCACTTTGTATGTCCCGTCCGTTACCCCTCGGATTCCGCTTTCTCTTTGTTCCAAAATAGAATAAGCAACATTCCGAAAAAGTTTTCGAGACGAGCAAACGATCCCAATGCAAGAAAGGATCTGCAAAGCAACCAAGTACTGCAACAGCGTTTTGAGTACTGGGAGCTTCCAGTGCAAATTCCTCGCGATCTTCATCAACCGAAAAGCGTTCAACACGATGGCTGAAAAAGGCACCTTAAGGCACCAGTCCAAGCAAGAAAGGCTGCAAAAAGCTTCACGTCTTGTCCTAAAATGTATGGGATATGTTAATTATCAGCCATTAAGATAGGCAAAAAGATAATACCAACCTGCAGCTTGCTTGTTCAGATATTGCTTCCGATTCTTCAATTGTGCAACCGTCGGAATGAGACATAATCTGGCTTGGTTGTTCTGGTATCTTTGTTGAAGGGCTATAAGGCACCCTTTGGGACCGTTTCCGCTTAATAGACTTTCAACTTCCGCTAACACACTTCGATTTATTCCTTTCTTCTCAGTAGCAGTCGACTTAAGTGTATGAGCCCCGCGAGCCTCCACAGTATGTTGATCACCTTGCGAGTATAGGCAAAGCGTGTAGTCGCATGGGTCGTTCGAAGCACACGAGTAGGTTGTCACCAAACCGCCTACACGGGACGATCCGTGTAGAACTGAGAAGCGGTACGGAGAGTAGCTGTCCATATAGATGATAGCCTCAGCTGCCGTGCGGAAAGATCCTAAGACTTAGTAAGACGACGATCCATCTTCTGCTCCTTCCTCATGATCGGAGTCGGATGTGGTCACGTCGATGGCGTCGGATGCCATTGAGGGTGTTGCGTTGGAAATTGAGAAAAGAACGGACAACACCGGCAATCGTTGTCCACGCACGACCAATCAAACTACTGCAACAGAGATTAATGGTGTAAGAGACCACAAGTAATGTGCTCCACGAGTTGCTTGTCATCAATGCCTAGGAACGGCTAGTTACCATTTTTAGATTACAAAAAACGGTTTTATTTTTATTGGTTTAAATATAAAGGCTAAGAATACATCCGTCCGCTAGGAACCCCTACCGATCAGAAACGAGGACACTCATGATTCAACTTTGTAGAGAAAAGGCATAAAGTCATCTCTTTTGCAGATCCACTAAGGAAGTCGCCTTTGGACGCTAAGGATTAATCCGCACCCCGGGTCTACATCAAAATACTTTGAGACGATCTTTATCTCATGTTATTCACTCTTTGTGTTAAGAAATGTTTCGTGTTGCATCTTCGCGTGCTGGAAGTACTGCCCCGCTCTTTTTCGTGCTACAGAGGATCTGCATCGTCTTGTTACGACTTGAGCCAAGTGCTACAGAGGACCTGCGTCGTCTTGTTACGATTCGAGCCAAGCTCATGCAAGTGACTAGCGACCTTACTATAGTTGATCTGAATTTGGCGGTATTTTGAGCTGCTATTATTGAAAATGTCAGAACTCGAAGATATCTCCAAGACTGCTGAGGGAAACACCAAGGCGCTAGCTGAGTCTTCCCGAGCGATAGGACACTCTGATTCGTCGCGCAGGTTCTACTTGCGAGCAGCGTCGTTTTCACTCTATTGGACAAGGCTAGGAGGCAATCTCAATGTGAATAGGTCTGAATGCTGTGTTCACAAAACTTTTAGGTACTACTGGTCCTCTTCGTGCTCGACATCGGCTGGTTACATTTACATACAAGAAGAAAAAAGTCGAATAGTTGAATACGGACGACAGACCATCGATATTGCAAATTTGATATATTTCTTACTATTATGTCCCAACTTTTCGAAAGCTCTTGGCTACACGATGCCTTTTTATACAGTTAAAGAAAGCAATCGACTCGGAGGAAGAACTACTAGTTGAAAAAAATCATTATATAATTTGATGGACAACGACGGGAAAATGCTTGATAGATTGACAATGAGATGTAGCCGTCCTTCCATTTGTTGTTTCTAGGCAAAGTCTGCTCTCATTCGTCGACTTTCCTATTCGCGTTCACACTACCAGCAACAACTCTTTCAATATGCCCAAGATGTCCAAGAACGGTTTGTTCGCCCATGTCAAGGCTCAAGAAGAACGAAAACTAGTTGACAAGCTTCGTGATATTGGCCTCGGACAGTACATCGAGCTGCCACAGATTGCAGTCATGGGCGATACCTCCAGTGGAAAATCGTCTCTGCTGTCGGCACTCTCGGGTGTATCCTTCCCGTCGAACGACCAACTCACGACGAGATGCCCCACGCAGCTTATTCTGACTCGTGCGGATACTTTCCGCGGCACCGTACGTCTCGTCCGGTTTCAATCAAGTAGTGAGAACGACGAAGGTGAAGAGAAACAAGAGCTCAACCGACTCGAAGACGTCCCCGATGCCATCACCAAACTCACCCAGAAACTTGTCGACGAAGGTCAAAACATCAGCGATGACCAGATCGTGATCGAGATGTGTGGCCCCGAATTGCCTAATCTCACTCTCACGGATCTACCTGGACTGGTGCGTACAGTTGGTGACCGTGAAGACCAGAGTATCATTCCAAGAGTTCGGCAGATGGTGGACAGATACATGAAGCAGGAGCGTACTGTG